TTTGCGCTCTGTTTTTTGGCCTTCGGGGGGGCCCTCTTTGCCGCGGCCGGAGGGGTCCGGGGGTCGTTCTTGGTTTGATTCGTGCGCACCAAAAGTCACTGTTACCAAAAATGTCTCTTACGTGGAGACGACAACGGGCGCGCCAGCGGAGAACCGCACTTGCTTGAGGCATTATGATTCGCCGCCCGCCCAGCTCCTCAACCCGACGGGCCGCAACGTCGACGACAAGAAAGTCCATGTTGACGAGCAGGCAAGAAAACAAAAACATGTTGACAAAAATAACGTCGACTTTGTGGTGTTTTTGGCAGGTATGACGGGGGGTCCCGCGTAGGGTTGGCGTGGCGTCCGCGCGCGATGTGCGCCGCGTCCCATTGTTGCCGCATTTTTTGTGCAGCGTCGACGACAAGAATGTCCATGTTGACGAGAAAAACGCTGACTTTGAATTTTCGGAAGGGTAAAGCGCGACCACCCGCTTAGGGTTACCCAATCGATGTCCATTCCGTACCATTTGTCGCTACACGTTTCGCAATTTGACGACACGCTCGCGAAAAAAAAAATATTTTTGGTTTTGCCAACGCGTTTCGTGGGGTTCTGTTTTTCTTCCCGGCCGCGTCGCACCCGCGACGCTCACTCACCTCCCCTCCTCCCCCTTCTCCTTCTCACGCAGCACTGCTCAGCACAGCCCAGCACAGCACTGCGCAGCATAGAACCTCAGCACAGCTCAGCACTGCACAGCACATCACAGCACAGCACAACGGTCGTCCAGGGTACACCGTAGGGGGTGCGCAGGGACTGGTGTCTGAGCGCGGCGTCTATGCGGGCCATGGCGCAGAGCACAGCAGGCGTGGCATTGTCTCGGCACCGTAGGGGGTGCGCAGGGGGTGGTCCCCGAGCGCGGCGCTTATGCGGACCACGGCGCAGGGCATACCAGGCGTGGCACTTCCTCGACACCATCGGGGGGTGCGCAGGGGACGGTCCCCGAGCTCGGCGTCTATGCGGGCTCTGGCGCAAGGCATCGCAGGCGTGGTATTTTCTCGACACCATAGGGGGTGCGCAAGGGGTGGTCCCCGAGCGCGGCGTCTATGCGGGCCATAGCGCAGATCATAGCAGGCATGGTACTTTCTCGACGCCATCAGGGGGTGCGCAGGGGGTGGTCCCCGAACGCGGCGTCTATGCGGGCCATGGCGCAGGGCATAGCCAGCGTGGCACGTTCTCGACACCGCTGGGGGTGCGCAGGGGGTGGTCCCCGAACGTGGCGTCTATGCGGGCCATGGCGCAAAGCATCGCGGGCGTGGTTGTTTCCCGACACACGACGGGGTGCGCAAGGGGTGGTCCCCGAGCGCGGCGCGCACGCGGGCCATGGCGCAGGGCATAGCAAGCGTGGCGCTTTCTGAACACCATAGGGGGTGCGCAGGGGGTGGTCCCCGAGCGTTGCGTCTACGCGGGCCATGGCGCAAAGCATATCCAGCGTGGCACTTTCTCGACGCCAGATGGGGTGCGCAGGGAGTGGTCCCCGAGCGCGGCGTCCTTGCGTGTCATGGCGCATGTCATAGCAGGCGTGGTTGTTTCCCGACACCAGAGGGGGTGCGCAAGGGGTGGTCCCTGACCGTTGCGTCTATGCGGACCATTGCGCAGGGCATGCCCGGCGCGACACTCCGTCCACAGCAGGATTGTATGCATGTTGGCTCGAGTTGAACGCACAACACGTTTTGGTTTCCGCGCCGCGTAGCCGGGGTTTCTGCGCTGGTGCGGCGTGGATTCCGTTTCAACGAGATGCGTTTTCTCCCCTCGCCTGGCCCCCCTGGCATGACTCCTCTCCCCCTGCCTCCTTCCCTCCTCATGTGCTCCTCCCTCCTCTTCTCCCTCAGGTCCTCCTCCTTCCGATTCTCATTCCTTCTCCCTCCTCGACCTCCGCCGGCGGCCGCTTTCTTTCGCTCATCGGTAAACCTTCGCAGGCTTGTGCAACGCAGCGGAGTGCCCATAAAAGGGGACTGGCTCCTCGAAAGCAGAATCCTCTCTCCTTCCTTCCGTCCCTCCCTTTCCACTCCGCCTTGTCCCATTCGCCCTCGTTCCTCCTCCCTCCCCTGGTTTCTGTCGCCCCCATCCTCCTTCCCACCCTCCCATTCCGCCCCTCCCTCCCATTCCGCCCATCCGCGTAGCAGGCGTGGCATACCCTCGTAACGCTAGGGAACGTTAGGGGGTCCGCAGGTGGTGGTCCCTCAGCGCGGCCGCTATCCGAGCCAGTCGTCCAAGGCGTAGCAGGCGTGATATCCGTTCGACACCACTGAGGATGCGCAGGGAACGGCCACCAGCATCATATTCACACGCTTCAATTCAGCTATCATCACTCCAGCCATTATATAAGTATGTCGGATTCCTCGGTTGCGTAGGAAGGAAGGAGTAGGGGCTAGGGTCAAGTTAGCCACCTCGAACGAGCCACAGGGTTCCGTCCACTCCCACCCGCCCTCCCACAACATACGAAGCAAGTGCGTCGCGTCCGACGCTTGTCGTTCATCTTATATCGTGCGCGGCTAGACGTTCAGCGCGCGACATGAGCTGCGACTTATTACTGCCGCGCATTGAGCAACGTCGACGAGAAACAAACCCGCGCGCGATGTACGCCGCGCCCCGCTCCGGCCTCTCATGTTGCGCCGTCGGCGACAGCATGTCCAGCGCGCGAAATGCGCCGCGTCTCATTCCAGTCACGCGCGTTGCACCGCCAATCGTTTCACCCCTGCCGCGCATTGAGGAGGGGGGGAGGAGGAGGAGGAGGAGGAGGGGAGGGAGGGAGGGAGGGAAGGAACAACTGAAAAAGAAGAGTGGCATTCCTCTTGGGAATTCGCGGGGCGCCCTGGGAGTGTTCTGGTATTCGCTTGGGGGCCTATTGGATATACCTTCCGGGTTGGAACAGTTTCATCACAAGTAAGTGTTAACCTCACAATCAACCAAACACCAAAGGAAAATCAATATTTGTGTTGCCCCCCCAGGACCTCCTTGGCGTTTTTTTTTTGTTTTCGACGTTTTGGGGATCTCCTGAATCACTTCATTGAACCGCACTTGCTGGAGGCATTCTGACTTGCCGCCCGCCCAGCTCCTCAACCCGACGGGCGGCAGCGTCGACGACAGGCGTCTCCGCGCGATGCGCGCCGCGTCCCATTCCCGCCGCGCGATTCGCAGCGCCGACGTCTCAGGGTTGGATTTTTTGTGGAAGGTTCGTTGTGGACTGACTTCCACTGTATGCATTACCGGTGGCGGGCTGTTCGTCCGTCCCCAGATGTTTTGAGGGTCGGGGGGCGATGTTGAGGCGATGTGGTGCATATTTTTGTTTATCCGCTTCCCGTGGAAGCAAGTAAACATGTATACGCCAGGATCCCGTGTACACCAGGATCCGCTGCCCCGTTTACGAGCTTCAGTGCAGGGCCGGAAAAAAACGTCGGTGTATAGAGTTCGGTTATTTCAAGAGGGGGGGGGGGCGCCGAGTGGGCAAAGAATCGGGTCGGATCGGTCATGGCCCCCTCTGTTTCCCTCGGTGGGTTCCTGGGCCCTCTCCCCTGGGCCGCCTCGGGCCGTGATGTGCGAGCCCCCCTCTTGGATGCTCACATCCTGGACGTCCTCGTGGAAGGGGACTGGGAAAAGGAAGCGCCTCCCTCGTGGACGTGCCCATTTTGGACGTCCTTTTGTTCCTCCTCCACCTCCTCGTTTTCCTCCTCCTGTTCCTCTTCCTCCTCCTCCTCCTCCTCCTCCTCCTCCTCCTCCTCATCATCATCATCATCATCACCATCATCATCATCATCATCATCATCCTCTTGCCTTTCCTCTTCCTTTTCCACCTCTTCGTCCGCCTCCGCCTCCTTCCCCCCCCTCCTCCTCTTCTTCCTCCTCCTCCTCCTCTTCCTCCTCCTGTTCCTCCTCCTCCTCCTCCTTCTCCTCCTCCTCCTCCTCCTCCTCCTACTCGTCCTCCTCCTCCTCCTCCTCCTCCTCCTTCTCCCTCCTCCTTCTCCTCCTCCGCCTCCTCCTCCTTCTTCTCCTACTCTTCTTCCTCCTCCTCCTCCTCCTCCTTCTCCTCCTCCTCCTCCTCCGCCTCCTCCTCCTCCTCCTTCTTCTCCTCCTCCTCCTTCTCCGCCTCCTCCTCCTCCTCCTCCTCCTCCTCCTCCTCCTCCTCCTCCTCCTCCCTCTCGCCTGGACCGCCTCTCGGACGCCCCCATCTTGGATGCCCTGGGGGGGCTTCGTGCGTTGGCATTGCCCCGCCAAGTTTGCTGCGTGCAGTTGGCTTCAGCCCCGCCCCCGACCGCTCTCCCTGACGTACAGTCGGACCGAGGTGTTACATCGAGGCCGGCTCGGGGAGGGTACCTATTGTCGGGAGCCTTGAGACGTGGGTCAATGCAAACGGGGGTCAGCCAGAGCGCAGGATCTTGCAGGATGTTGCAGCTCCAGGGTCGCATTGACCCGGGTTGGGTGCAGGATCCTGCAGGATCTTTCGCATCAACCCGGGTTTGGGTGCAGGATTTTACAGGAGCGTGCAAGGCCTGACTGAGCCTGTCTGGATTGACCCGGGTCTGACCGGGTTTGGATTGACCGGGGTCAGAAGATCCCCGATATTGCTTCTCGTGTTTGTTTGATGTTCTTGCGCATCCTGGGAAGGATACCCTTGGATGGTCCGTGTGCTTTGGCCGACGGAGGGTCTCATGCTCTTGAGGGGTGTTCCTCTGGCCCAGGTCTGGCTGTACTGGCGCCTCCGGCGCCCGGAGGCGCCAGTGGCGCCCCCCACCCCCTTTCGGCCAATCTCGCCAGGGATCGGAGTCCTAGAGGTTGACACCAACACCAATGTCGGCGGCGTGCTCCACCGAGGGAAGATGATCCCGATCCAGGTGATGGTGGTAATATTCGGGCTTTCTAGGTGGCCGAAAGATTACCACCAACACCAAAATCCAGGATCGTCTTCATCCCGTGGAGGCAACCCCTGATGTTGGTGTTGGTGCCAATTTCCAAGCTTCCAGCAGGAGTTCCTCCATCAGCATGGGCCAGCGCTCCGCAGCAAGCTCGGCTCCTGTTTCGGGCTGGGCCCCGAGAACGTGCAGCTCGCACCTGCTCCTGTGGGCTCCGACCCGGTGAATCGCTTCCTGGACGCGAAGAAGAGGATGACGAGCTGCAACATGTTGCCGGTCTACCATGGCACGGACCCTACGAATTTCGAGTCGATCTTCAAGCGCGGGCTGCTCATCCCTGGAAAAGGCAACGACCTTCGCGTGGTAAACGGTTCAGCCCACGGTCTGGGCATCTACACGGGCATGCTCGAGCACCCGTGGCTGTCCATGTCGTACTCCAAGGATCTAGGCCTCCTAGATGGGGTCCGAGTAGGTGGGATCGGAGGTCGCGCCGTATCGCCGATGCATCGGCGATGCATCGGCGATGCGGCTCAATGTGGGGCCTCACTGTTTCCACGACGACGTCGCCGATGCATCGCCGACGTCGCCGGTGCTTGGCCGATGCATCGGCGATGCATCGCCGATGCATCGGCGATGCGGCGCGACCCTGCGACCCCACCTGATCGGACCCCATCTGGGAGGCCTCCAGAGGCAAGGGCGCCCTCGAGGGCGCGAAGTTATTCGCGCTTCGCGTTTCGCGGTCCGGCTCCGATTCCTCCTCCTCTTCTCCCCCTGGGAGGCGGCGCGAGAGCGCGAAGTTTTTCGCACTTCGCACTTCGCGCAGCGCGAAGCGCGAAGTTGGGAGCCCTTGTAGAGGAGAGGCGCCTGCTCGTCTGCGCCTGCCTCGACGGGGGGGCCTCGCCGCCCCTGAAGCGCGGCTCCGGCGCCCTCGTCATCTTCAACGCCGACCTGGTCGCCTGTCTTTTTTGTCTGTCGGGGGCCCCCAAACGGTGTGGTGACCACACCGTGCGGTGAGTCGGTGGGGAGTCGGGGTCACCGCACGGTTTTGGGACTCGAGTCCCTCTCCGAGGATGTCTCGGGCGACAGGGGCCTCCGATCTCCCAAAATCATGCGTTGACGGACCGTGCGGTGAGGTCTTTGCTTTGGGGATTTCGAGGTCACCGCACGGTCGGTCACCGCACCGTTTCGGGACTCCAAAGTTTGGGGGGGCGCCAACTGCGCTGAAGTAGGGCACGTCCCTCCACAGGAGGAATATGCAAGAGAAGTCAAAAAATAGTCTGGGGACGATGTTTCTATTATGTTTGATTATGATTACATATTTTGCTGACTATTGTTTATTTTCCCTCCAGGATCCGCCTGTAGGAGGACATGCCCGAAATATATCTGGTCGCCTCCCTTTTTTGGGGGGGGGGGGGGGCGCCAACTACGAGCCTGGGCCCGGCCAGCCCTGGGCTCGGGGGCAGCCTCAGGGGGGAAACTCCGAGGAGGAACAAACGATGCCCATACCGCCACCCTTCCCTGGAGTTCCCCCTGTCAGCCACGCGCAGAGGGGGGTAGGGTGAGGGGGAAAGCTTCTTAGAAACACCCCTGCTTCTTAGAAGGCGCGGGCCCTGCCTGTAGATGTAAGGCCGGTGCCTTCTAAGAAGGAGCCTGCTTCTGAGGAGCCTTCACCCCTCCCCCCTTGTGCGCGCCAACAGCCCTCTGCGGGCTCCTGGGAGGCCCTCGTCGCCGCCGCTCCTCAGACTGAACCCTGGGAGAGGTCCGAGGAGAAAGAGGAAAAAGATAAGAAAAATGAGAAAGGGGAGGAGGAGGAGGAGGAGGAGGAAGGGAGTCCCCAAAGACTGGCTCCAGGTGGGATGTGTGGACCCCCCATCGCCCATTCGTCGCCGGCAGGGGCCCTGTGGCCCCCCCCGCCAAAAGGACAGGTGCGGATGCGCCGTCAGGGGCGCCTGCAGTGGCGGCCCATGCCGGGAGACAGCCTGCTTGCCTCCAGGGTGCCCTGGGCGTCCCTGGGCTTCGACGGTTTTGCCGTGGGAAGCGTGAAGTTTTCGCATCAAAAACCGTTTGACGTCCTGGGGTCGCAGGGTTGGGGTCCTTCTTGTGGTCGGGCCCCTACTGCATCGCCAATCTATCGGCGAGGCATCGCCGGTTCCAGGTCGATAGTTCCCCCCTGAGCAGGTCGCCCGGCGGCCCTGCTCCTTCTCCTCTTCCTCCTCCTCCTCTGGACATCGCCTGATGTCGCGGGCCGCGCAGCCTGCTTCGCTCCACGCGCCGAGTGTTGCATTGGATTGTAACAGCGCATTTGCATCATGCCAGTTTTGGGAGGACCGAGACGCGTGCTCGTACCAAGCGAGTTTCACGTCGTCGGCGAGCCAGTCAGGTGGCCACTCCTCCTCCTCCTCTTCCTCCTCCTCCTCCTCCTCACTTGCACCACCACCTCCCTGAGGGCAGCGGGTTCGTTCGCTGCACCTACTGTAAGAAGGGAGTGGGGACGGAACAATCCAGGCGCAAGCTAATGGCCACCACGTGTAATGCGAGATTATATCAGGCGGTGCCAGCAGAGTCCGACTCCCCCCCTTCGTCTAGGCTTTCCGCGGTTCGGTCTGGGCCTGAGCCTCCTTGGGACCAAGGCAGTGGGGCAGAGCCGCCGCCCACAGCCTCGTCTATCGAGGCTGTATGCCACGCTCGGGCCCCCACAGACCTTCTTGTCTGCTCGAACCTGGCTGCGGCTCCTCGTTGAGCCCAGCAACCCAGGGCCTGTTGTGCACGGAACTCCTTAGTGCTTGGCGGCCCGCTTTATATTTCATATGTCATACACCTACATAACAATTTTGTGCTCCGCACCTTGGCCGTGATCCTTCGGGTGGGCTGGTGGGAGTTCGAAACCTGGAGGGAGGCCCATTTGGCCCCCCCTGCTGTTGTGCCGCCTATGTTTCACACGCGGCGGCGCCAATGCAGAGTCTTATCCTCTTTTTCCTGCTCCTCCTCCTCCTCCTCCGCCTCCTCCTCCGCCTTCTCCCCCTGTCTCCCCCTCCTCCTCCTGCTCCTCCTCCTCCGCCTCCTCCTCAGCCCCCACGGCACAAACCATTTTTTTCGCGGGGCGAGCAGCGCCCCCAGGCATGTCTCTGACTGTCACTACACCCCCCAAGGTGTTGCTCTCGGGCGGCCCATGCACATACGCTGCTGCGCCTGGAACCCGCTATCCATGCGGCAAGGGGGCAGATGGATGGATGTCGCCAGGCAGTTTCGGAGTTGCGGCATCGTCGGCATCTCGGGCACGCAGCTCACTACGGACACCCCATGTGCTCAAGATCGTCTAGGCCGATTTCTTCGCTTTCAGTGGGGGCGCAGTGGCGGGCAGGCTGGCAGACCTTCGGGGTGCGCGCTGCTGGTGAGAGACAAGTTTTTTTCACCGAATCAAGTACGGCGAGCGTGGACGTTCGCAGGCGAAATGGCGGGGAGGCTGGGCGCAGTCAGGTTCAAGTCGGACCACATGGACGCGACGATCATCGTGGGCTACGCCCCCGTCGAGCCGCCAGGTGGACGGGGACGCGCGGCGGCCATCAAGTCTTGCACGCAGTTCTGGGACACGCTGAAGGCGCTGTTATCCGAACTACCTGTGAGAACGGTGCCCATCATTTTGTTGGACGCCAATGCGAGAGTCGGGTCTGCGCTGAGTGACTCAGTGGGGTCGTTCAATATTGATCGGGAAAATACGAACGGAAGTTTCTTCCGTGAGACACTTGAGGAGCATCACCTGTGCGCAGTGAACACGTTCTTCGAGTGCTCTCCGACGTACTACCATGGTGACGGTGTGCCTACAGCCAGAGTTGATTACATTTGCAGCACGAGGGACGTTGGAGGACATGCAGTATCGTGTAGGGTCTGGGAACAGACAGGCTCAGCACTACAGCTCATCAACACTCGAGGGCGACGAGATCACTACCCTGTAGTTGCAGTATTGCAAGTGGGGCCCTTCTTTCCTGAAGAACATGATCAGATCCGATGGGATCACAATAAGCTGGGCAGAGCTGTTCTATTCGGAGAAGAACGACAGGAGTTTTTGGTGGACGTGAATCGTGCCGTGGGCGACGTGGCGTTCCGTTCGGACACACTGGCGAGGCAGAGTTCTGATTCTTTGCACTTGGAATTTCATAATGCAGTGATGCCAGTTGCTCAGAAATATTTCGAGAAGCAGTCAAAAAAGGTCGAGAGACCGCAGGATACATCTGAGGCGCTCGCCACGCGCATCAGGCTGAGGGCCGAGTTGAGGTCTCTGAGTGATTACGCCCTCCCTCTCCTTCCCTCCCCCCTGCCCTCGGTCCCGTCCCCTGCTGTGCTCGCCTTTCTCCTCCTCACTGCATGTGGCGTGATCGTGTGCACGTGCTCGTCCTTTTACACTGTATTGCATGATGTGAGTGTTCATGCTAAGCACCGCGTGCTTTGTAGGAAAGCTGATCGCTACGTTAGGCACCTCACGCGACGTGACAGAAACCGTGCTATCGGGCTGCGGGTGTCTGAATTGGAGGACTCCTGGGACGAGCGTAGCTTTGCGATTGCCTGGGAATTAACGCGGAAGCTTAGCGGTAAGTCGCTTGGTCCGAAGTTGCGCTTGGTTTGTACCCCCCGCGCGTTTTTAGACTGTAATACTTGGTCTGACTACCTGTCTCAACAGGGGGGAGAGGGGGGCTTCGCTGCCTGTGCTCCCAAGTATAATGAGGAGTTGGATGCGAGGCTTACCCGAGACCCCAGCGAGGAAGATATGAGTAGTGCCTGTGCTGCCACGAAAGAGGTGTTCGGCAAGATTTCTGGGTTCTTTAGGCGTGTTAAATTGCGCCGTGCACCTCCGTCGTGGTCGTTCCCAGCCGGCGCGTGGCGCATGTTGTTTTGGCCTAGGGAGTTTAAATCGAAGCGACGAGCTGGTCTAGGGTTTGAGGCTGAAAACGAGAGTTGGGATCTTCTAGCTATTAGGAACTGTCTATTTATGATCATTGCTGCTGTACATTTTCATGTAGAGGCTCCGCTCATCTGGCATAGTAGTCAGGCGTTCACCTTAAGTAAAGCTAACGGCAAGACTGACTGCGCGGGGCTCCGACTGGTGCACTCTCTGGACCCATTTGGCAAGGCGTTCTACAAGTATCTCTGGAGAGCTAATTATGGATTAACTACGGCGGCCTCTAGGAACTACGCGCACGGCTACCTGAAGCATAGGAGGAGAGAGGGGGCGATACTAGTACAGGGCCTAGTACAGGAACGGTTGCGTGAAGCAGGGCACAGCTATTGCACTGAGTTCTATGATGCGACGAATGCATTCCACAGCGTGTCCCACGATATGCTGATGATGTTTATCCGCCTGAACGCGGACGAGTTCGCCACCGCTCTTTTTGCACAGCGTCTGCAGCACGGTCACGTTAGCCTGGCATGTGTAGACGGCATTCTGGAAATGGGTATCGGGTCGGGTACGCTTCCAGGAGATTCCATTGCTTGTCTTTGGTTCCTGGGTCCTTATCACTGGTCAGTAGATGGAATTGTTTCCCCCGAGTGTCCTGGGCTTAGCGTGTCGATCCCCTGGCTTAAACACTGCCTGGCCGACGACGTGTCCGATCGTGTGCGCTTGTGTTCTTGGTCGCAGCAGCCGATCGAGATCTCTTTAACGTCGTTCGCCGACGATCTTGCTAGGACCCAGCTGGTGCGTTCGCTTGAGGGGTTGATCCGCTTAAACAACACCAATACGGAACATTTAAAAGACAGACTAAGTATCGTGAACGTGCAGGCGAATTCAGGCAAGCAGGAGAGCCTGGTGTATCTTGGGGGGAAGGGTGCTCAAGCTGCACGTCGCCGTCTGTTTGGAGGGAGGTATATTGCTGAATCTGGGATATGGAGGTTGAGGAGCGGGGAGGTTATCGCAGGAAAAGTTGCTCGCTCTTGTAGGTATCTGGGGCCTTACTTGCAGGCCGACGGCAGTCCTGTGGCGGAGATCCCTCGGCGTGTACAGAAAGCTCGGCAGGGATGCCAGATGCTGCAGGGGTTTTGGCAGCAGTGCACGAACAAGCGTTGGAAAAGTATCGTTTTTAGATCTGTTGTGGAGGGTGCTTTGGTTTCTGGGCTTGCCCCTCTTGTCCTTCTGTCAGACAGCATCTATAAGATCGACGGTGCGCAAGCGTCTATGGCGAGAAGGCTTCTGAAAGGCAAGGCTAGTGGTAAAGAGCAGCAAGAGGGGGAGGATGTGCAATATCATGCCATGACGAACAAACAAGTCCTGTCTGAGCTTCGCATGGTTCCAGCCTCGCTCGCTGTTAGAGTTCAGCGACTCAAGTGGTGGCAGGAGGTTTCACGCAGACCGCTCTGTAACTTGCAACTTATTGGGGCTATGTTCGGAGAGAGCTATTGGGAGGATGAGGAGTGTAAGAGTCTGGATCGAGAAGGATTTCGCATCGGCCCGATCCGATCTTGGTGGACACAGTTTTTAGAGGATGTTGCCGAGCTGTTCCGCGTGTGCGAGAGCACGCAGTACATTCAGTCCGTGCAGGTGCGGCCAGTAGCAGTTTTTTGTGATGAAGAAGTGCGAGGTGCGTTCCTTGCTGCTGACCCTCGTGCCTTGGTCAGTGAATTCCTAGGTAAACAGATACCTCCTCCCGTGTCCCTCGGGTCCCTTTCCTCCCCCGCCCCCCCCTCCCCTGCCCCTCCTCCGCCTCCCCCTCCTCCCCCTGGGTTCGTCTGTGGGATTAGCCTGGGGGTGGGTGGGGGTATCTGTAGCGCTGAATACCCCACGAGGCGTCAATTGCGTCTTCACCAAGCTAACTCTCAGCTACCTAATCATGGATACCGTGAACTTGCTAGAGTTGTTACTGTTTCGAATTCTTGTATCTTATGTGGAAATATGTATAGCACTAAGAGGATTGCGAGTGAACACCTACTCAAAAGCCTTACTAACAAAGCGTGCCCGAAGTCCCGAGGATCCTCCACCGTGTTTACCCATGTGGTTCCTCCGCCTTATGAATGCCAGCTCTGCGAAGTCACTTTCAGCAGCTATTCGGAGGCTCAGTGGCATCTCAGACAGCATCTACCCTTGGACGATCAGACCCTCGAGCTCTAGCGCGTGCACTCATGGCGGCTCAGTGGGGCGCCATCTTCGGCCAGGTTGGTGCGGCAGCTCCTGCTGCTGAAGAGGGTGCTGTAGGAGCTCGTGCCAGCAAGCGTCTTGGCATCACGGATGGTAGCATGGACAAGAAAGTAGACACGGCGCTCAAGCTTGGTGTCGTCAACGCTCAGAGGAATCGTTTGCTCGAGGCGGCCTGCACGACCCAGTTCATGCTCAAAGTTGCCGATCCTATCTACACCTCCATGAAAGATGCGCATGACAAGGAGTACATTCCACGAGTAAAAGGAAAGAAGGGGCACGGTCTGGGAGCCCCCGACAGTTTCATGCTCACAGGTGTCGTCGTGACTCTGATGCCGCGCGCTAGCCCTGAGCAGCAGGCGGTGCTTCGCAAGTTTTTAGACAACTGCGTGCCAGGCAGTACGCCTGCCCAATTGCTCATCAAGCTTTTCCGTACGGAAAAAATTTTTGATTCCAAAGTGCGCAGGTTGATGATTGCTATCAATGGTCCCGCTCTCGAGGCCACTATCGTGCAGCTTCTGATTTCTTCGAAAGAGGAGACTTCTGTCTTTGCAGGCCCGCGCCCTGCTGGCTACCTTGAGCTGGAGGGGCAGGGGATGATTGCCAAGTGATTCGTATCCAGACGCAGCGGCTCTGGGAGTCTTCGGCCGTGCGCCGACGTATGCCGACGGGCAGCGTCGCTGGCGCCCTCCAGGTTGTGGAGTGCCGAGGATCAGTTGTGAGGGGGGAACCCCATTTAATCTCCCAAGATCGTTGGAGCGTCGGTCTCAGTGGAGCCTTACCTTACCTTACCGCCTCCTCCTCCTCCTCCTCCTCCTATGCCTCCTCCTCCTCCTCCTGTCGCCCCCTCACGTCCCCCCCCCTCGCGGGTCCCTGGTCACAAGCCCGGGGGGGCCTGCGGCAGTGCTCGGGGCAGGCGCGCGTCAGGAGGGGAAGAAGCACGCGGGCACAGCGACGCATCGGTCGTTGAGAGTACTGGCAGTCGTGGACTCCTGGGTCCCACTCTGCTTCCTGAGCAGGTCGCCCGGCGGCCCCGATTTTGGCTGGCTTGAGCGATCTTTTTCCTCCTCCTCCTCCTCCCCCTCCTCCTCCTGCTCATGCTCCTCCTGCTCCTCCGCCTCCTGCTCCCCCTTGGGCTCCCGGATCCCAATCTGCTTTCGGCGCCTTCCTACTTCAAGGATCGAGTGGCTTCTCCTTTGCCGTCCTCTCCAGGGGGCGGGCGGACACCCAAATCTACTTTCAACGCCCCCCGACCTCATGTGTCTACGTACTTCTTCCGACCGATGGGTAATCGTCGATCCCCCGGAAAATATGGGAAAATATGGGGAGTGATGGGGGGGAAGACGAAACCTCAGAAGATGTAAGAACATGGGGATCCTCGGGCCTGTGTCTGTTTACTTGTGTGTGGTGTGTGTGTGTGTGCGTCTGTGTGTGTGCGTGTGTGCGTGTGTGCGTGTGTATTTGAATCTGCGTGTCTGTGTCTCTGTGTCTCTGTATCTCTAGGTCTGTGTGTCTCTGTGTCTCTGTGCCTCTGTGTCTGTGTTTCTGTCTTTGTGTGTGTGTGTGTGTGTGTGTGTCTGTGTGTCCGCTTGTCTGTGTGTCTGTGTGTCTGTGCGCCTGTGTGTCTGTGCGTCTGTGCGTCTGTGTGTCTGTGTGTCTGTGTGTCTGTGTGTCAGTGCGTTTGTGTGTGCGTGTGTGTGTCTGTGAGGCGCTGTGGCTGTGTGTCCGTGTGTCTGCGTGTCTGTGCGTCCGTGTGTCTGTGTGTCTGTGTGTCCGTGTGTCTGTGCGTCTGTGTGTCTGTGTGTCTGTGTGCCGTGTGCCTGTGTGTGTCTGTGTGTCTGTGCGTTTGTGTGTTTGTGTCTGTGTGTGTGCGTGCGTGTATGCGTGTGTGTGTGTGTGTGTGCGTGCGTGCGTGTGTGTGTGGTTGTGTGTGTGGTTGTTTGCGTGTGGTTGCGTGTGTGTTGTGTCTGTGTGTGTTGTGTTTGCCTTGTGTGTTGTGTGTTGTGTGTTGTGTGTGTTGTGTGTTTGTGTTGTGTGTTGTGGTGATATGTGTTGTGTGTTGTGTGCTGTTGTTGCGTGTGTGTTGAATGTGTGTTGTGTGTGCGTGTGTGTGTGCGTGTGTGTGTGGGCGAGTGTGCGTTTGTGTGTGTGTGTGGCCCTGGGACCCTTTAGTGTGGCTGGCGCCCTCTCAGGTCATCCCCATGTTCGTGGCCTGCGATCCGCGTGTCATTCCCGACCCGTTCTCCGGCACGCGGCGCGACGCGCCCATCCAGCCGCCCAGGCTCTGCAAGAGTCGAACAAGAAGAAGCATTGCCAGAAACAGAAAGTCTTGGCACTCCGCGCGGATTTCTTGGATCCGCGCTAGGCCCCCCGGCGGCGCCTTCGGAGACGCCCCTGGCGCGCTCCGCGCGCCAGAGAGGGGGGTCCAGCGCAGATCCAACAAGTCCGCTATTTCTTTCACCGAGCGCGTTCCAATACTCGCTGAGTGCCTACTCACAGACGTCCGCACAGAAACAGATCTTTCTCCGTGTACTGGAGCGTGAATGCCCCGCGGCGGATGCAGGCCATTTGCGAGTAGCTACTCTGCGAGCTGCGGAATGCGCGTGTCGAACTCTCCTCTACAGGAGGCGTCTGCGCACCGTTAAGTCGGGCCTGCTCCTCTACAGGGGGAATATTCAAAAATAGTCCAGAGGTTTTTTTTAGCATTTCTGTACCATTTTGGAGCATCTTTTAATATTGTTCAGTGTTCGTAGAAAATCCCCCTGCATGGGGGACACGCCCGACTTAAGCGCACCGCCACCGTGCGCGGCCAGGGCCAGCCGGGGCAGCCAGCCGGTGCCGCTGCGCCTCCCTGGCCCCCGCCTGGGAGACGGCGCACGCACCGGGCGGGGGCCCAGGATGGCCTTGGCCGGGAGTGGTGGCGGTGTGCGGACCCAGAGATCGGGGGCGGCAAAGAGGGGGGTGAGGACTACGGGGGGGTGGATAGCATGGCGGGGGCCACGATATTTCCCCAGGTTTCATGGCGCCTCTTCTTGTTTCATTACGTCCCTGGCCCCCCCCCCTGGGCCGCGCAGATGCCGCCGGCCATGATTTGCACCCCCCTTCTTGGACACCCCCCTCTTGGCCGCTCCCCGAGGATGGCCCTGGCCAGGAGTGGTGGCGGTGTGCGGATCCAGAGACCCAGGAGACCCGGACCAGAGATCCAACGCATCGGAAAAATCACGAGGAAGGTTTTTCGCAGTTTTCGGGCTCTAGGGGCCCTTACCGGGCCTCGGGGCCGTCAAAAGACGACTCGGGATGAAAAACCAGTCCTGGGCAATGGGTCGAAACTTCAGGGGACCTCGCAGTGAAAAAATCATGACATCGGATCTTTGGGGATCCGTCATGTGTTCCTCCGGTGCGCCTTCAGTCACCGGGCGCGTTCCACTACTCGCAGGGTGCCTGCTCGCGCAGACGTCCGAGCAACGCATGGCTGCTTCGATGTCCTGTATCGTAGGCCCCCCGCGGCGGCTCCAGGCCGTGGGCGAGGAGTCACCTTGCGCGCAGTGGGACGCGCTCGTCTCTTCAGGGCGGCGCCCCCAGCTGCTGCCCCCGGGGCCCGTCCCGGGGCCCGTTCCTCCTCCTCTGGCCGCCTCCTCCCCCTCCCCCTCCTCCTCCTCCTCCTCCTCCTCCTCCTCCTCCTCCTCCTCCTCCTCCTCCTCCTCCTCCTCCTCCTCCTCCTCCCCCTCCTCCTCCTCCTCCTCCTCCTCCTCCCGCGGGGGCCCGGCGACCCCGGCCCCCGGGGGGCCGAGCAGCCACGGCGAGCAGCCCCCTCCCCGAGCGGGCTTCCTGCCCGAGCGGTCGGAGGACCGCGCGCCACCTCGCCGATGCAGTGGCGGTGCGGCAGTGCATCGGCGCCGACGGCGAGGCACAAAAACACAAACACACACAGCAACACACACACACACAAAACAAACACAGCAAAACAACCAAACAAACAAAGACACGACAAAACAAAAAGACACACCAACAACAAGCAAACAAACAAGACACACACACACACACGAAGCACACGCAAAAACACACACAACAACACACACACACACACACACACCAACACCAACACACACACACACACCAACACACACACCAACACACACACACCAACACACACACACACCAACACACACACACACCAACACACACACACCAACACACACACACCAACACCAACACCAACAACACCAACACCAACACCAACACCAACAACACCAACACCAACACCAACACCAACACCAACACCACCACCACCAACAACAACAAACACACACACACACACGCACATACACACAAAACACACACACACACACAAAAAAACACACATACGCTGTGGGAAAGCACACACACACAACACAACAAAACAGACAAACAAAACACACAGTGTGTTTGGTGTCCCCCCACAGGGTGTTTTTTCCACCAAAAAGTGTGTGTTTGTTCCCCGCGACGTCGGCGTGGGTACAGCGCCGTTTTTGATACATGCTCCGCGTGCGGATCATGTATTAAGACTGCAATGATCTAGCATTCAAAACAACGACGAGTGCATGCATGAACTTACTCACATATTGAGCATGTATTAGAAGTCCCATGTTTTAAACATCCTATGTATTAAAGACTGCCCTGTACTTACTCTTTCTGTTCCGTCGGCGGCGAGGCAGAGGCAGTCCGCACCGGCGCGTGGCCGATCGAGGCGACCGATCGGCAAGTGGTCCGGCGTGCAGGAGTCGGAGGCGACGAGAGGGGGGCGAATAGCCCAGGGGGGAGCAGTCCATGTATCCAGCGGCGCCGATGATCGATGTCTTCGACCAGGCTCCAGGGCGAATGTGATGCCCGCCCCTGGGCTATTCGCCCTTATCGTCGCCGCCGAAAGAGAGAGAGAGAGAGAGAGAGAGAGACCGCGCGAAGGGTGGAGGGGGAGGGCGATCGGACGTGGAAGATTTCCGCGGTGCGCGGGCTGGAGCGGCCAGCCACTGGCGTGGAGACAGTCAGGTGCCGCGTCGAGCCGCATCTCCGATGCAGCGGCGAGGCGGTGCGGTCCTCCGATCCCACCTGCTCGGACCCCATCTGGGAGGTCTCTGTGTTTTTTGGAGGAGCAAGAGGTCATGACAATGATGCGTTCCAAAATTTCCAGGATTTCCTAGATTGGGAGGGCCCTGCGGCTGGCGCCGCCGACCCTGAAGGGTGACGACCACGGCGGCGGCGTCGGCGGCGACGACGACGCTGACGTGGGGCAGAGTCCTCAGTGGTGATTCGAGGTGCCTCTTCGGAGCGCGCTCGTAGGCCTCTGGGGGGCAGTTCTTAGGCCTCCTGGGAGCATTTTGGGGACCTGGGAGCCTCTTTGGGGTCCCTTCGGGCGTCCTGGGGGCTTCCTGGGGGGCCCTTGGGGCTTCGTGGGGGCCTCTTGGGGTCTCCTGGGAGCTTCTCGGGGCCGAGGGCTCGAAATGTTCGACTGTGCTTCCGTGTGGGCACCCTTTGGGAGCTTTCTTGTAGCCTCTGGGACCGTCTGGGAGGCCTCTAGGGCCGTCTTGGGACCCTCTTGGGTCGTTTTGGGGCCGTCTTGGAAACCTGTTTTTGGGCTTATTGTGCCGTTCTTGGTGGCTTCTTGAGCCGTTTTGGGGCGTCGGGAAGCCGAAAAGGCGAGAATGCCAGAATCTTGCAAAAGCCCTAAAAGAAAGTCAGTTCATTTTGCCTGTTGGGGCTCTCTTGGCGTGCTCTTGGAGGCCCCTTCGAGCGTTCTGGAAGCCGCCTGGGCTGTCAGGGGACCATCTCTGGCGTCGTGGACCGGGATTCGGGGCCTCTCCCCCAGGATCCCCCCTCCCCATCGGGTGGAAGGGATCAAAGGGAAGAGGCTTCCCTCCGACTCAACTACGACGTCGGGGGTGGACAGAACCCCCACCCTGACACGTCGATTAGTGAATTGTCCGTTTTCCGTTCTCGAGAGGGTGCCGCGGCCGTTCTTTTCCAGGCTTGCGCCCACCAGGTTTGGGCCCGAGGTCGTTTTCACTAAACCACGTTTTCTAAAGGGGGCTCTGTCCATCCCCGACGACGTTGCTCGGATTTCGTTTTTGTCTCGCTTGGGCTGGCTCGCTCGAGGAGGAGGGCCCAGTGGAAGGGACGGGGAGCGGCGACGGGCTCGGCGAAAGGGGGGCCACACGCGACGGCGACGATGGCGATGGCGACGCCGAGTCGAACAGAACACCGCCCTCCACGCGCCGAAACGGGTCGGCGAATCCCCCGATGCTCCACGGGGCCTGCAGGAAGGAGGGCCGCTAGATGCTTGGGAGACCTTGGAGCGCATCCCGAGAGAGTCCTATCACTAGGGGGGCAAAAAGTGGCATAAACATGAAAACTCGGAGGTCCGCGCGGATTGCTCGGATCGGCGCTGGACCCCCCTCCCTGGCGCGCGGAGCGCGCCAGGGGCGGCGCCGGAGGCGCCGCCGGGGGCCCCCAGCGCCGATCCGAGAAATCCGCGCGGACCTCCGAGTT